GGCGGAGTCCTCTCTTATCGATTGGATCCCCGTCAACAGACGTTTATGTGTAGTGAGTCTCCAGGGTTCAATCAGCGTCCGGAAAGGGAAGCAGCACCAAAAGGTGTTTGTTCATCGTATCAGCATATGCACTGACCGATTGCAGTTCGAATACCCAAAAGGACGCTTTCTACGATGACCTCACGGATCTCACTCAGAGGAATCGAAGCTCCGACATAGTTATACTTGACTTCAACGCGCAGGTGCAGTGCATCGGAAGCTTGCCCAAGTGGCAGTTGTGCTCTGCCCTGCCAACGAGCAGATAACGGCGATCGACGTCTTCAGTTCTTCGCATATCATCATCTGTTCCCAGGTAATACCAACTTCCGACACAGCTCTCGGCAGACGAAAACGTGGGGCTCAACTGGTAGGCTAACTGAAATCGACCACATAGCAGCAAGCTACCGCTGGCGTGGCTCACTGCAAAATTGCAGGTCTCATTGAACCACCTGTGTTGAGTCTAACCGCGCATTAGTTTTGATGCAGTTCATTCTTCGATTGACTGGTCAACAACAAAACCAGCAAACTCGGATAGATCATCATCGACTTTCGGTTCCCACGGTTTGTACACGTTATGAGTCAGAGCTAGTGTGTGCGCTAAGCGCGCTGCAAAGTAATGATGTAGATGAGCATTGGGATCAGATTAGGTAAGCAATGGACTGCGCAGCGAATGTTGCTTGTGGGTCTGAGCATTAAACCCGTAGGAGGCATTGGATATCTGATGAGTCCATTGCACCAATGGATCAAAAACGATAAATAACGACCTGCCAGGATCAAAACAAAGTTAGGTGGCGTCTGCAACGTCGGCTGACGAAGAGCCCCAAGAAGGATCGTGAGAACCGGTGGGTAACAATAGCTAGTGAAATGGAAGTAGCGGCTGCATCAGAGAACAGTCAAAGATTGTTCCGAATGATACGCAATACGGGATGTCGGCAAACCCCAGTCTGTGATAAGAGGGGACAAGCTTTTCTCAATAGGGATCAACGGCTTAATCGTTGGGCGGAATATTTCAGCGAACAGTCCAGTTGGCCTGGTGCTAGCCAGGTTAATTCATCTGTAACTGAAGCTCCTTGGGCAGTGTCGTGCGATTCTCCAGAAGAAGCAGAAGTTCGGTGTTGCATTCAAGCTCTGAAGCGAACAAAGGCAGCAGGACCAGATGAGCTCCCTCCCACCCTTTTCAAGATGGACATTGATAACCTCGTAAGCCGTATTACTACCTTAGTGCACAACATTGGAACGCAAGAGTGCATTCCTTCATCTTGGAACAAATCACTGATCGTTCCCGTTTTCAAAAAAGGATCTCGCAACGATTGCGAAAACCACCGCGGGATCAGTTTGATCCCGATCGTCACCAAAGTGTTAGCTTCGGTCATACTTCGACATCGGACTCCTTTAAAAGAGATCAACATCGGTGAAAAACAAGTCGGGTTCCGGTCTGGCCGTGGATGTATTGATCAAATTTTTACGTTACACCAGGTCTTTGAGCTGCGTCCCACCCACCGCAGACCAACGATAACAGTGTTCCTTGACCTGAAAGGAGCCTTCGACTGAGTTGACCGCGAAGCTCTGATGGGCTGCCTTCTTCGAAAAGGAATGCCCCAGAAGTACTTTAACTTACTGAGGTCGTTGTGATCGCATACCTCTGGTTGTGTAAAGGTCTATGATGAACTAGGCAGGGCATTCGTTACCAGCAGCGGCGTTCATCAAGGATGCCCTCTATCCCCGTTCCCGTTCAATTTCGTCGTAGACGAAATACTGGAGCACGCTCTAAGTGGTCTCCAAAACGTAGACACTGAATGGGCAGCTGGAAAAGAGCTGTGTGATTTTGAATACGCCGTTGGCTTTGTCTGTCTGTTCCGATGTATGCAGGACACGCAAAGCACACTTGAAAGACTAACAAGTGCTGTTGCCACATGCGGTATGTGCTTTGCACCTTCAAAGTACAAAGTGGTGATGCAGGACTAGGTTTCGCCTACTCCCGCTTTGAAACTAAATGGTCAGGAATTGGTTACAGTGGATGGCTTTTCCTACTTAGGTAGTTACGTGACCAACGACGGTAGAGCAGCAAAAGAGAACCGCCCGCATTTCCAAGGTTCGAGCAGCATAGGCAGGACTGAAACACTTTTGGCGTAGACGCGACGTTTCACTGAAGTTGAAAGGTCGTGTATACTGTGCTAGCGTTCGTTCAATCCTGCTTTACGGTTTTGAGACCTTGAATTTGCGAGTGGAAGATGTTCATCGACTAGAGGTTTTCGATTACCGGTGTTTACGTAGTTTAGCCCACGCTGGATGCAGCGAACGGGTTAGCAATCTGGAGCTGCCGTGTGTTTGGAAGTCTATCAGGTATGAACCTGCTAGCATATCGAATTCATATTAGTAAACTTCGCTGTCTAGGGCACGTATTGCGTATGCCCAGCTACTGCCTACGACATCGCGCCTTATTCGTTGTAGCTAATCCGGGCTGGAGGAAACCGCGTGGATGTCAATAGATGACGCCGTAATGAGATATGAAGAAATGCTTAGAGTCATTAGGTAGAGTAGGTGTCACGCGCCTTCCAGGTTGGGGTCCGAAAAACTCCGTAAACTAGTTAGTTGAAGACACTGAAGGATATGGCAGCGAACCGACAGTAGGGACGTTCTTGTTGTCTTTTCTTATCATGCCAGAATGCTTGAACGGTATGTATGCAGAGTACGATTTTACACTCTGTTTTGACCATAGAGGTTCACTTTCTTCTCCCTCCCTCAAAGTTGGTCCAATCTCTATCTACCTAAAATTTTACCACTAACCTTGTATGCATTGCGAGTTTGACAGCGATTAGTGGAGTTCGCTTGGCTGTATCTCGCTGTACGATGATGATGATGTGTGTTTCGGTCTTACTGAATCACCTGGTAGATCCCACAGCGAAAAGTGGTGATCTGAAATGCGGAAGAATCAATGTACCACGTACACTCAGCACAAGCTATTTTACCTGTTTTTGATTACTTGGTTGATCTTGAATACGGTTTTGTCAATGAGTTCAGGACGCACACAGAAAAAGCCAAGTGGTTAGTTTGTCCAGTTTATTTTTTCAATATTTTATAACTATTTTCGGGTAAACTTTCAACCCACCATTTTTCATAACTTTTCCTGATTTTCATTTATTCCGCAATTTGGTTAGTAAAGATAGAAAAGTATATGATCTACCCCTCCTCCCCCGTTGGGGCCAAGTGGTTATATTGACTACTTCTGTACTTGACCGATCCTGACGTTACCAACTGAACCCGATCGATGTGATCAGTGTTTCGTGTTAATCAACATCGATGCCACAGGCTGAGTCATGACCTTAGTGGTGAATTGAGTCCATCACATGATGCTGAAAATTGATTGAAGTTCATCGTCCTGACTGTCGTATATTATAAGAGGCCCCTTTAACCTTGGTTGCTGTTGGTGTTGACCTTCAGTGACTGGGTCATCTAGTTTCGTCGGTGCGCTAGCAACAAAAACCAGTAGTGCCTTATCGGTAGCATGCTATGGCAACAAACATCACTTAAAAAGTGTGATGAACGTGTGTGCTCTATGGTGAATTTAAGAATATCCTCTACGTCTTGTGTGAATAATCCTGCGCGTTTGTGTTGGGCCTTTGCACAAAACGACTTCACGTTTCAATGGCATCTCGGACGGTCAAAAAATCGCATCTATGCGATTCACTTCGTGGGAGACGAGCTACAGTGCGAGTATTGTAATCCACGGCAAAACGAAATAACAGAAAAAAAGTATTAGTTGACTAACCAGTACATAGATGCTATCGATAGAAGCTAAGGGCGACTGACAATGGGTCAGTCAGATTTGTCAAACGAAATGCTAGTTCGAAAATCTGCTAGGGTATGCAGCCAAAGTGAGCAAAATAGATCACTTTTACTTGTGATACCTTTGCACTTTCAGCAATGAATCCATGATGGGTGTCATGAAAGACTATTGGGACTAAGTCCGGTTTCCATGCATTCAGATGGAGCTGGAAGCCTTCATCCGGTTGCACTATGCTCAAGGATAAAATGTATAGCCTGGAGCTGCAATAACAAGTCAAGCGCGGTCTGCCTTACAACTAACAAGGTATTCTTGAAACATCATCATCATCATCGTACAGTGAGATACAGTGAAGAGAGCTTCACTGATCGCTGCCAAGATCACAATGTACACAAATCAACTGATAAAGCACAAGATGGAGAGGGATTGGGCCTGGTTGGAGGGCGGCAAACAAAAAGAACCTCTATGTTCAACACAAAGCACACAATCTAAGTGTTCATGCATACCTTTTTTCAAGCATTCTGCCTTGTTAAGAAATGACAACAGGAACCTCACTGCTGTCGGTTAGTCGCCATATTCTTTAATGTCTCCAGCCAGCCAGTTTCAGAGTCTTTCGGACCCCAGCCTGGAAGACGGGAGACACCTATTCTACCTAATCGATCTGTGCATTTCTTCATGCCTTGTTTCTACGTTATCTGTTGATCTCCACGCGGTTTCTTCCAACCTAGAGCCGCAACTGCGAATAAGGCGCGGTGCGGCAGACGATGGCTTGGCATGCGCAATACGTGTCCTAACCAGCGGAGCTGACTAATCTGAATTCGATGGGACAACGAATTCTCCATCAAATCATTACCAAATGCGCGACGCCTCACCTCAGAGTTGCCTACAAACTCGNNNGCCAAACTACATAAACATATGCATTCGAATACTTCAAGCCGACGAAAATCTTCTACGCGCAAATTTAGGGTCTCGAAACCATAGAGCAGAACTGGCCGCACACTGGCCCAGTATACGCGACCTTTCAGTTTCAACGAAACATCGCGTCTACACCTAAGGTGTTTCAATCCTGCGCAAGCTGCTCGAGCCTTGGAAATGTGGGCGGTTACTTCATTGACTATGCTACCGTCATTTGAAACGCAGCTACCTAAGTAGGTGAAACATTCTACTACAGCTAATTCGTGGCCATCAGGCATCAGCGCTGGGGTAGACGACACTCAGTCTTGTAGCATCACTTTGCACTTTGAAGGTGCAAAGCGCATGCCGAAAGGAGATACAGAACTTGCTAGTCTGTCAAGAGCGCATTGCGCATCCTCCATAAATTCGAAGAAGCATGCGATGTCATCAGCGTACTCTAAATCGCACAGCTTTTCTCTAGCTGCCCATTCAATACCTAAGTTTTGGAGACCACTTAGAGCGTGCCCCAGTATTTCGTCTACGACGAAGTTGAACAGGAATGGCGAAATAGGGCACCCTTGACGGACACTGCTCCTGGTTTCGAACGATTTATTTAGCCCACCGTATACCCTTACGTTACCAGAAATATGCAGATACAACGACCGCAGTAGGTTTACATACTTCCGCGGCATTTCTTTGCGGAGCAGCAACCCCAGAAGAGCCTCACGGTCAACTGAATCGAAGGCTCCTTCTAAGTCAAGGAACACTGCGATTGTTGGCCGATGATGTGTGTGACGCAGTCCGAGGACTTGACGCAGAGTGAAGATTTGGTCGATGCACCCTCGACCTGGTCGGAATCCGGCTTGTTGTTCGCGGATATTCCTCTCCCTTAAGGGTGTCAGGCGGCGAAGTATCACAGAATTCAACACTTTTGTGATTATCGGAACTAAATTAATCTCACGGTGGTTAGCGCAGTCGTCGCGTGATTCCTTCTTAAAAATAGGGACGATCATCGATTCACCCCAGGACAAAGGGATACGCTCCTTCGTCCAAATGCTGCGAAGTAAGCTAGTAATTGAGTCGACAAGAGAATCTCCGCCCACCTTGAAAAGATTAGGGAGAAGCCCGTCAGGTCCCGCAGCCTTTCCTTTCTTTAATGATTGAATGCAGCTTCGTACTTCCGATTCTGATGGGGGCTCGCATGTTACCACCCAAGGAGTTTCCGCCGCAATTGCTGGAATGACCACATTAGCACTAGGCCAATTGAACTGTTCACTAAAATACTCTGCCCAGCGATCAAGTCGTTGTTCTTTATTGTGGATGCTTTGTCCACTTTTATCGCAAATGATCTCACTGACCGGTATGCGACGACCTCCGGTGCTGCGTATCAGGTGAAATAGTCTTTGACTATTCCCTGATGCAGAAGCTACCTCCATTTCACTAGCTATTTCGGCCCACCAATTTTCACGATCTTTCTTAAGGCTATTTCTGAGTTGACGTTGCAGACGACACCGGTCCTTATGCTGATCCTGGCAGATTGGTATCTTTCGCTTTCGATCCATTAGGATTACTGATTCCTGAGAGATCCAATGTCTTCGGGGAACTTCGGGCTCAATCCCACAAGCAAAGTTTGCAGCCGAGTGCATCGCGAATCTAATCTGATTCCACTGTTGGTCTACTCGACTATGTCGCGGTTCTCCTCGCTCCTGTCCCAGCTTCTCCTCATAACGTGCGCAGACAGCTGGATCGCGCAGACGATGGTGAGCTAATTGAGGAGGCGATTTCTGCCGATGACCAATGAGTCGAAGAGCGAAGCGTAGCAGAACTAGTGCATGATCCGACTCAACGCAGGTGGACCAATAGGATCTGCAATTTTGTACTGAACCACGCCAACGGTAGCTTACAGCTATGTGGTCAGTTTGGATCAACTTTTCCGTTGAACTTGAACACCTTGTAGCCGTTCGACGAGAGCTGTGTCGAAATTTGGTGCTAGATAAAATTAGCCGGTGATCCGCACAGAACTGAAGTAGTCGATCACCGTTGTCTGTTCGCTGAGCGGGGAGGGCGAAGTGCACTCCTAGACAGGCTTCGGATGCGCTCAGTTTTCCAACCTGCCCATTAAAATCACCTGCCAGCACTATAGAATCAGAGTTGCGGCTCAACCGAAGCAGTTCGGCGAGTCTGTCGTAAAATTCGTTTGTGAAGCGGGACTGCAGTTGGTTGGTGCATACGCAGAAATAATGAACAAACACCTTTTGGTGTTGCTACCCTTCCGAACACTAACCTCACTAGCCTCATTGCGCACAGACGACTATTGACGGGTATCCAATCTATCATAGAGGCTTCAGCTGTATCGTTTAGTACGATACCTACACCACGCTGACCCAGTGAACGGGCTGCGTCGTCTCCTGATGTGCGAAGGAAATACCTCGAGGACAGACCCGGCGCACTCAAGTGGCTCATAAAACTAGGATCCTGAATTCGTGTCGCCGATACGCAACAGACAGATTTCTAGAGTTTGCATTGAATATCTCAGCTATTCTTTTTCATGTGAGAACGTGTGTATTCAAGTTCGAGTAGTTAAGTGTGGCAGGACGGGATAGGATATAAATGAGGATAACGAACAAACGGAGGTACAGCGTGGTGCTAAATTGCAGCCAAAACTCAGGTATAGCATGAGGGTCAGGAAGAAGGAAAGGATAAAAGTCGAAGAATCATTTAATCTTAAACCCTGGAACAGTCATTGTGGCAATCACATCTTCCAAGGAGATCTCATGAATTCCTTATTGATTATTTGTACCCCGAGCCTTATGAGCTCAAAACAGAGCAACATAATTGGTTTATACAACGGAGTTAGTTTTGATTCCGATTTAACCACACGGGTTGACTGAAGACTTTGCACACCAAAAAACGCACTGTGGTAGTACACGCGATCTAGAAGTCCTAAAATCATTAGAGTTTTTAACTCGAAGTTGCTTAATCTCTCATCAGGCATAGGGAAAGAGGGTTAGCTGCACACAATCCAATCCGCTGAATTTAAATCTTTCGCTTCTTCTCAAAGTTGCCCACATTTTCGAGTTACCCTGTCGTACTCGGATGGACCTGCTTTATAAAGCGTTGCGCTGAAGAATGTCTTCCTCCTATTCAGATCTGTGAGACTGAGTAATATCAAGTCAGGATCATAGATTGTTTCATTCTCTGTTTACCAATGTACGATTCACATTAACTGATACTGTGCCTCCATCGTTTCTCCCTGGATTGACTGAAAGAATCCTGAAATACTGCTCTGCGGTTCAGCCATGATAATTGGAAGATCTTCTGATCTCCTACTAAGTTATCGAACACTTTCACGGTTTCTGATTGGTGGTAGCTTCGGTAATGACTATTTTAAGAACAAGCACGGTGGTGGTCACATAGTGAACCTAAATCGAGAAATGAGCCAATGGGAATATGGTTGTTCGAAGCCAGTTTGCATGAAACTTAATTCACCCGGTTTACTTTGTGTGGTGGAAGTGTTTAAATAAGACCATATGATTTCAGCGATAAAGATTATCAAATTCAGAGTTAATATTCAGGAAAGTGCATTTTTTAACTTGTATTTTCTTATGAAATTCTGTAACTGTTACGAAATTTACGGCCTATTTCGACATCCCTCGTTACGTTATTTCTATGGCAGTTGATTTGATATAGACATCTCATTCTGGTCCGGATGTATGGCCAAAATGGTAATTCGGATTGTCCAGAGTTTTAAGAAATGATGGACTTGTGATGATTGATGTTTGTAAGTGTGATTTCCTTCACATATATTTGTCTTCTCTCCCCACCTGTCTTAATCTATTATAAATCGTGCTGGATTTAACCAGTTGATGAAGCACCGGAAACGAATTTGTTTGCTATTTTGTGTTCTCATTTTCAAAACCACATTGCGGCAATATGCCCATTTTGTGTATTTATTGCTATCGCGGAGCCCACAATCCGGTAAAAATTGAGAGCCCATTGGCGGTTAGGTGACTGTAGCGTGCAGCATTACTTTTCTTTGACCCGATCCACAACGAACTGACCATCACATAGCTATTTTCAAGGTAAAACGGGAGGTGGAAAAATCTGTGCTACATGGTGGTCATCCAGACAATGCTGGGACGCTTGTCAGCCCGAATGAGGTCAACGAGACAGCTTGAACTGATGCTCAGACATCTTGAAATGTTACGCGGAACACTTGAAATGACGCTCAGACTACTTGACTGATCCTCAGACAACTCGATGTGATTGCGGGTTATCTTGAAATGATTTCTGGACATCTTGAAAATGATATTCGGATAATTTGAATTGCAATAGGTATAGAACTTACGCTTTTTTGTGATCCCCGAGGGGTGATACTGGCGAATAACCGCGCGGCTACCTAATCTCGGAAATTCTCCAGATTACCGTATTGTGCTGGCCGGGAGACCAAAAATAATAGCAACAATAGTGGTTCAAATATAGTCTGTGTGTTGTCTTCAGTACAAGATAATTACACTCTGACAGGTGTGGTCCGGTGTTTGCCGAGCAATAGAAGGAATTGGTTGATCGCATTCTGATCAGATGTGAATGCAAGAAAACAGAAATAACTCAAAACTATTGACCAAATTACACAGCTCACCCCTGTCGTAATAGGGTAAATGGTAGTCCCAACGTCGCGGGTATGGAACATAATTCCTCTCGTACCAATCCAAATCGGCCAAACCCAAGCGCCGTTCAGTCTCCACTTTTAACGCTTCATCCAATGTTTTGTCTAGAGCTGCTTTCAAGGCCATGTTCCCTCCTCCCGTTTGTTCGTAGGTCGCCCGAAGAGCACTGCGGATTATGGTCACAAAATCACATGACATATCAGACAATGCATCAGTAAAGTCAGGCGAACACTTGACTTGGAGTACACTCTACGTGTAGAGTTTTTGTTCAAATCGACGCCATTGGTTGGGCAGCATTGAATATCAAATTGGTCAAATGATAGAAGTAGTATTCTGAGTGTTGCAAATTAAATGAATGGAAAGTAGAATAATTTTGAGAAAAGATTTTGCCGCCTAGAACTAAAAATGGTATCATTTTAGTGTACCTTGTAGATGAATGGGTATCAGCAATACTGTGGAAGCTGTGTTGAAAGGGGAACCCGGTACCAGCGAAACAGTAAGCTGATAAACCAAAACACGTCATTCTTCTCAATTGCCTGGGTAAAATCAATCGACAAATAGACCACAAATCGTTAGTGAATACACTGAATATGGGTTCAGGTTAAAAAACAAGCTTCGTGGCAACGCGATTCACTATGTCACAAGAATTTGTCATCTGTGTATATAGGTTAACAAATTGGTGCATATTGGTCCCGAAGTGCATTTAAAAAAGGAATGACAAGTTTTTCCAAACGAGTGCAATACTACAATTATCTGGATAACAATTGATTTCGTGTAGGAAGTTATATCTGGGAATTCGATTTATCAGGCAACAGTACACAGGCTTCGAAATCAATTCAGATGAAAATGAGAAATAAAACATTGTTAACTATGATCTATTCAAACACTTGTTATTTTCCGAACGCATTCTATTGGAGCTGTAGGTCACAGTGCGCAGTGGTTTACTGGTCTCTTGCGTAACGTTGGTACAGTCTAGGCATTGGGTCCACCACCCCTGATTGATCGTGTGGTTCTACGTACATTATAATAAGTAGTACATGAATGACTGGACAAAATTGCCCTGGAAGCACATGACCGGTTTCGCGGTTCTTGCCGCTCGTCAGGCATGCGTATCCGGTAATCTTTTGTCAGTTCATTCATATACTTATACCCAGGAAGCGTATTTCCGTCAGAATAACCTAATTTGCAACACCGGGTAATTTTGGATAGACAGCTCTTTCAGAGCCAGTCCATTGAAAAATCGATACTATGATTCGATGTTCTGTAGGTGGGTTAGATGCTACTAACCTCAACAAACGTGAGTTGAATGTCTTCATAGAAAATCTCACAATAAGTAGTACATATAGATGTGATTAAAGTCAGAAATACCCGTTGGGTCCTTTTTAGAATCTGATTCTTATGGGAACTCGGCAATACCGATATACCAGTGCTCAATGAAGACAGCGAATCGGAATTCAAAACGCTTTACAACCTATTTGGGACAGGAATATTTCTTACGAATGTAAAGAAATAGGGTGCAACACAAATATATTGGAAGTGCACTACTGCTACTACCAATTCTATCATCTGTTTCTCCGAAAGGACCGTACACATTCTGCATGCTACTGGCAAACTTTGCCCAAGATGTGGTGACAAATATTTCTCCAGCTACAATTACGAAAGGCGAACTATAGATCTTGACATTTTGATATCCTCATCTGGGTAACCATTCACAGAGATTCTCAGGGAGACCGATATATGAACTGAAAGTGAGTAGCTTTAGAATAAGGGTTCTGCAAAGCAGCAATCACAACTTTGTCCTTAATGGTGTATGTATTGCGGCGTTGTCTTGTTGATAAGTGGCTATCCCATCCACTGCGGAAATTCCACTTCCAGCCACAATTGGTCTATTATCAGTGCGTTACATATTAGATACGATTGCTTCTCCCAACTTATCATGCCAGTAGCAATGTGGAGCATCCGAACTGTCCACTTTTAACCTTAACTGATCATTAAAGGTCACTTTCCGCTAGTGGCGCGTCTGCCATACATTGCTTTCGGTCCACGTTAACCTTCGTTGAATGCAATACTGATTGAAACTATTCACCTCATCTGGTACCTCGCAACGGATTTGTCGAAGTTCCAGTTGCACAGCTCACGTCGAAATCATTGATCAAGGCTCTAGATAGGCGCTTTTCCGGAAGTAGATCAGGTAACCTAACGCTTTATTGTTTCGTTCACAATATTGAGAGATCCGCATGTTTTGATAGGCTAACGAAAAACGGTGGCCAATAGGTAAAAATTAATCAGCGTTGCCCACATTCCTGTGGAAATATCAGTATGATACCTAATAATGGGCAACTTTCTGAATTCCAGCGTCACCTATGACAAGCTGCCACAGTGTAAAAATATCCAGAAGAGCAAGCGGGCTTTTTCGGTCAAGTTATATTGACCGTAGAGGCTTTAAACACTTAGTAATGGGGCCAAATTACAGTAGAGGTCAAGCGGTAAAGGTTGACAACTTATCAGCCTCAAAGACGTGCGTTCGAACTTCACCACCACCGCCTAACTTTCTCCTTTTTCTGTGTATTGTGTAGCAGTCCTATGATTGTCCTCTTCTCCCTTGCTGAAAATTTCACCATTGTATATTCAAAGGAAATAATCTAAAAGATAAAAATTCTGACCTTGGCAAATCACCGCACAATACAAGAAAACAACACGGGACAGGAGAGCTGTTGTACAGTAGCCATGGCTAGAGTAGCCCGAAAATTTTGCAGCACTTCTTTAACAACTTGCTCAACGAAACTCCCACTTTAATAGTATTGTAAATTCTCATGTATCACGTAACTGAGAATGGCTTTGAGTTTCTTTTCACCAAAAATAACATCTTCATATCTCATAATAAGGACTTAGATGAAAACATTGACTGTACTTAGGATTCTGGCGCGCGCTGTATTTACCATGTTAAACAGAACAGAAAATGGCCCCAAAGGGGGATGAAAAAGAATGGGAACATCTATTGTGGTGCGCTTACGTATCGGAAATTCCCCCAAGCCAGATGGATCACTGGGCATGTAACAATCTCATTAGTTAGGTATTCATGCTTAAATAGCTAAACTATAAGAACCTGAATCATGTGCAACAAACCACGTTTGGACTGATTTCGCTTCAGCTACTGATAAGTGCACCGCAAGATGATGCTATAGTCATACATGAAAATACTGTTCTGCACTGCATCACTGCAACATATTGGCCGTTGTTCCGTGGGATTGAAGTAATGCAATGACCAGTCTGCAGCCCAGAACTAAATCAAACTGAGAAAAGTTCACCTGATTCACAATAAATCCAGTTTCTACTAGTCAAGGTGTGGGTTAATAAACAACGTCAAGTGAGAATGGATGACCAACAGAGACAATCACAGGTCTTGAAAGAAGGATTTTCCGTTAATGAACTCCAAACAGTCAGAAAATAGTGGCAGTTATGCAAATGGACCTGAAATAATCGCAACAGGTTATAGGAAATAGTTTAGTACCATCAAATTTACGCACGTTGGCTTTTAATAATACCCAATGGGGAAAACACCATTTATGCATAATGTAGTGTGTTGTAAGTGACCATTTTTAATCTTATTGTTGACCCAGTCCCCGTGAAGTATGTTCAAATGAAATTAACCGCACGTTCGGGACGATAATTAAGATAGTACCGGGACGAGGATAGTTGTTTATGACGAAAAGCGATCAAGATATCGATAAATTGGCGTAGACACAACAAAATGCCTCATTTGGAACAGGTCATCATAATGCCCACAAGCACGCAGGATAAATAATGGAACGATTCGACTGTGGATACGAATTTTCTGTAGTTACAAGTATGAACACAGTAATTCGCTCTAGAAGGTCTTGTTCATTTTTTACCGTTGTGAGAAACCGCCAATTATATTCTTTTGCGTAAACCAAACATACTACTCAAAAAGGTAAGTAGCAGTTCACGACATTAGTATCGATGATCCATGGCGAATACTGCAAGATTTGCCCAGTTTTGCTTATTTTTCGCAAAACTTTCTATTCCAAACAAACGATGCCTACACTACGCAGTGCCTGATCGGGCTGTTTGAGTTTGCTCTTACAAATCACCATCACTGTTTGGTCGTTGTAGAGCGGCTAACACATCAGTCTTAGAAAGAACAATGAGCGAGATTTTCATTTGTATCGTATCCGGTGTTTCCTAGCTTAACGACCCAGAGGAGGAGAATGGTCACGGGATGTCGAGATCTGGTCGTCCAGACCGAAATAATCCATGTGAAGCTTGGGGAGTGGATTTGAGCGAGACGTCTAAAGTGCACGTTAAAGCAAAAGTGCACGAACACACCCATACTCAAGGTCACTGGTCCACTTGGCCTATTTTCTGTTTTGTGTGAAAAACCGGAAGCGCCCACGTATCGTGAGTAAAAATCAAGCTGTCCACGGCTGCCATAAAATCCTTAGCTAGTCAGATAAAGGCAATCAGTCACCAGCTTCCCAAAGTTGAGAGGAAATGTCATTTCGTTTCAAGGGTACGAAAAAAACCAAAATGCTAGGTTGATGAATGTAGACCGGACTAAAGCTCTATTGGAGCCTAATTTTCATGATGCACTCAATTCTTTTTAGAAGAGGAATGAGAAGATAAGAATGGAAGATATGAGCAACAAAATCGACTGATGATGTTTTAACTTTCAAGTTTCGACAGTACACAAAAACTACTGAATATTTGCGAATTATCTGTTTCATAAGTGGGAACAAACTTAGTTCACAATTTGTAAGTCTCTCAGAGAATATCACCCGATAAATTGATTAAAAACGACAGAAGTGCGATCGCGCGGCGGTGAGTTTGACTGTTTGAATAATATATAATAACTTCGTATGCGGGAGTTCTTAATTAAAAGTAAAAAATTCCAATGTTTTTCAATACCAATAGACGCACAAATCAGTTCAGTTCACCTGAAATTATTTAATTTAAGAAAAAAGCATGATGAACAGTGTTGCTTTTTTAGTCAATGAATGATTAAATAGAGCTCGGGTTTCTTAGGGTAAAGATTGGTGGAATAATGTGCCAGAAATTTGAACGGTCGGATTGACATCACGAGTGTGTGCGAGGCTGTCAAGGATGTTGGTACCACTTTAACAAAGCCATGAGAACAGAAACGGTGAGGCGCATCGCATCACTAGATGTGTTACCGAGAC